TGTTACTCCAATGATGAGTGCTGGAGGAAAAGAGAGAGGAGAAAGGGAGTCAATGCTCTCTGCAGGGAGACGCCGTGAGCTGAGCGATCAGTCCACATTACATTTTGTTTAAATGGAGCAATCTACTTGCAGAAGCTCTAAACGAGCTCTGGCTCCATCCATGGCAGAGTCTAATTCTGACCCTTCTGGGTGAGCCAGCTGTCACTCATGCAGCTGGGCGGATCTCGACATCGATTTTTTGATCCGCTCCGGCGTCTCAGTATACCGCTCGCTGTAGCTCGCAGTATACTGAGCTTAGGGTGACCGGAGGACGCTAGTTTGTGTCCTCCCGTTACCCTAAGGAGAACTATGGGGGAAAGCCCTGACCCCATAGTTCTCCTTTAAGTGTGCCTGCCGTTGACTAGTTGGCCTTTTCTCTGGACATGTTCTGTCTGTCCAAGCTTCCTTTCCCTGAAGTCAAGGGTTAGGTGTGCTAGCTTTACGCATTTCTTGCAGTTGCCTGAATCTGAATGGTTTTTCACTATTGGACATTATATGTCTTTTCGAATTTCCCAGAAAGTTCTTTTTTTTTTGCTCTGAGACATGGCCCAGAAAACCTTCTTTTTTTGTTGACTGCATTACTTGTTGGTCTAGTTAAAGTATACCGTATTTTTCTCTGTATAAGACGCTACTTTTTCATAAAACTGTTTACCTAAAAATAGAGGGGCCGAGAGGAGAACCGCGGTTGCGAAACTGCCGAAAGTGCCGATACCACTGCAAACTAGCCTCACGAGTGAAACTTCGGATTGCAGAGACAAGATAAGTTTTCCTCCAATCATAAATCTTTTGTACCTGACGTCAGCTGTTGCTGGGGAGAGTGGAGGAAAACTGTTATCTTGGCTCTGTAATCCGCTCTCCCCAGCAACAGCTGAAGTCAGGTACAAAAGATTTATGATTGGAGGAACACTGTTATCTTGTCTCTGTAATCCAATCATAAATCTTTTGTACCTGACGTCAGCTGTTGCTGGGGAGAACGTTTAGCCAGTGCCCAGAGCGGTAATGTCGGAGCATAAAGTGATTGACTCAGAGGTAAGTGTGATGCATTATATCATTTAAAATATTGATTTCTGAATTTTGGGTAAGAAAAGTTGGGGGCGTCTTATACATGGGGGCGTCTTATAGACGGAAAAATACGGGTATGTGTTTTATTGATCACTAGCAATCTTTTCCTAGGCTAAGCTTACATATACAGCTTGAGTTAGTTACAGGGATAGTCAAAATGTAATTCTGTTATTTAGTAACTGACCTGAACTGTAAAAAGAAAGTTTAAAACTATATTGACTATCTTGGTCATTCAGTATCTGTTGAGATATCTGTCTACCACATAAGTCAGCTTTGCACCAATTCTTCGCAACAGGTTTTAATCTGACCTCCCAAAATTGGGATCTCTATAGGTACCTGAAATTCTTTAGCCAGAATGTTTTTTTTTATTTTTTTTATTTCTCCCACTGGGTCACACTAAGCACACAGGTTGTCACCACCTGTACATGAAGTGAGAGAAAAGCCCATCAGATGCACAGAGAGCAATAAAAACTTAAAGCATATCTAAACTCAAAAGTCAAAATTTAATATAGTTAAGACAAACCATCAACAACAAACAAAATGGTCAGCTTTTATTAATTTATGTAAACTTTTAGTTCAGAAGGGGAAAAAAACCTGTTGCTGTAACTGCTTAAAATGTGTTAACTGGAGTTGGTATTTAATTGTTAGTCAACTCTGTCTAAATCTGCCAGTACATCTAACACTACCCTCTCCATAGGTTGACAATGCTGTCAAGGATGGCCCCATTGCTAGAGAGTGGAGCCACCCTAAGACAGGAAATGTGTTACTGGTCAGATCAGCAGGTAAAAATAAAGGTAAAGGCATAAATAAAGAAAACAAATGCAGCCACCACATTTAAGGATTGTTTTTGGGTTCCGATATGCTTTAGCATTGGTCATAAGCCTTTCTCATTGTATCCAAAATGAAATAAAAATTGGATGGAGTAGGGGTTTAAGAACTTGAAGAAATCCAATATGCAGCAATTAGCTGGCTATTCATGGGCAGATTTTCTAAAATGTAGAGAAAGAATCTAGGAAACATTTGCTTTTACAAGGCTTGGTACAGCTGTGAGTTCCAACTTAGACTGTTGTCCATAGCTGCTGTTTTTTGCAATGGTTTGGATGTGTGGACAACAAAGTTTCCATAATACTGAAACATTTGATGCCCTAAATTTGTGTCGCCTCCAAATGTTCCCGATCGCTTAATCTTTAAAACATACAATCAGGGACAATTAAAAGTCATGTTCACATATGCTACACCAGTTAAGAAAATTGCATTAGCCAATATGGATGCATGAATAGCCATTTAATCAAAGATACACAAATCTGAAGAATAGTAATTCAGGATTTGCCAGTCTTCTTTATAACAAATCAGTGGATTACTAATCAATTTGTGTATTTCTAGTGACTGACATGACACATAATCTAGGAACATGTGAGGGAAAGAAGGAAGGAAAAGGAACAGTATATTAATGTCAACCTTCTACCTCCATCCCATCTCTTATAAATAAAACCGTTAGAACTGGTACTTTTTTATAGGAGCTAGGGGGTAACTCCTTGCAGCAGTTAACAGAAGAAGCGCACATGGTCTTTGATAGTCCCGTGAGCAGACAGATGACATGGGAAACAGCTGAAGTAGAGAAAAGAAATGTCACCTTGATGTGTCAGAATTTTGTGAATCATAGGAGTGGCTGAAAGAAGTTACAAGAATTTTAAAAACTAACATACACGGAGGGAAGGAAGGAAAAGGAACAGTAACAGTATATTAATGTCTATAACATTAATTCACATATGTGAATTTCAACTGTTTAGGTGTGTCTTCAACAGGTTATTTGTTGTATAAGATAAATGTCCTTTTATTTAGTATGATAATGTGAAGAATTCACACTGATACACACTCAGTCTCAGGATTAGCAATTCATAAAGTTTATTAACTAGCACCCTACTTTATATGCTTTGTAATGATCATAATTCTGACTGTGCATGCACCTACACCTTATCTACAAAATCACCTTAATAAAAGGTCAGTTAGCTTTGGCTGAAAGTGGTACTTGTTCACAGTTTTGTTTCTTAAGAAAGACAAGATGGTGGAATATAAAACCGAAATGGAGGACAAAGAATTTCATATATACACTTTCTTTCACAGCTGGAAATCAGTGTTACAATTGAGAAATCTTAAAGAAAAGCCACAATTCATGTATTTTTACAATCCTCTTTAGATGTACAAATAGTAACAGTTCCATGGTCTTCCTAATTGGATATAATGCCTTGCTTAGTATTACCCCTGCACTACGTGGCTGTTGATAAATCTGATAGAGTATATACTTGCACAGTCAGATTCTAATGTGTATGGCCTTTAAAAATACCAGATTTATCCTGACTGTTCTGTTCATTGACCTGAGCTAGTGTTTAATAGCTCATTTTAAGCTGCACACCTGCCATAAGGAGACAATGCTGTTGATAGCTCTGGAACACATTGAGAGTCTGCTGTTTTACTGTAGAAACAAACAATAAATTGTACTAACTCAGTCACCATTTGTCCTGAAGCAGTAGAAAGACATAGCTAAAGGTATGCGCTACTGATCTTAAGTGACTCATCTGCTGTCACATCTCTTTCAGGATGGCAACACTGCCCTGCATGAAGCCGCTTGGCACGGATTCAGCCAATCTGTCAAACTGCTCGTTAAAGCTGGAGCTAATGTGCTTGCCAAGAACAAGGTGAGAACGGTGTCAAACATCCATCATTTGTTAACTGGATTACTCATATTTGCAGAAAATGTTACTTTTTTCATAGCTCTTTCCTTGCTGTGGATTACCGTTTTGTTAGCTGACATAATACAGCAGTATACCGTTATCTCAGGTTAATCTATCTCTGCAATATGTTTTGTGTTGCATAATGCCCTGTGGCATTTGCAAGAGTAGAAATCGGGGACAAAACAATGGCAAACAATATTTCCAAGCATGACGTTTACCAAATTTGTGTTTGTGTAAATTGCATTTATAAACAATAATAATAACCTGACCTACTAAAAAAAAAGTGTAACTTTTAAGTAATTTCTATTATATAGTGCAGTTGTCCTCTTCAAAGGGGCAATTCCAGGCTCTTCGGAGTGTATTTATGAACAATTGACAGAGCCATTCCTCCTGCAAATCCTCTGTAAACGTTTGTTCTGTGTGAATAGAGGCAATTATGAACATTCTTAGTATATTTTCTTTTCAGGTCGAATGTACCACATTATTGCCTCTAGCTGGAGCTAAGGAACCTAGAGAATAGGCATTTATTGCCTGTGCTCATCAGCTTCATCTAGTGGCCATAATGTGGTATTACATTACATTTGACCTGAAAATAAAATATACTAGGAACATTCCTTTTTGCTTCTGTTCACACAAATGGTTCTGCAGATTGTTTTTATATAGACCCCTTTGTGTATCATTATTGATTTTTTTTCATTGCCTTATTACATTTGGTTTAACCAGTCTCTTTTTTTTGGCTAAGGAAATCTGGGGTTCTAAGTTTGAAGAGATAAACAAAATAAATGCATGTTTGGGTAACTAAATAAAACTGCAGGAAAGGGTAAAGTTATTTCTTTTTAGATCATTATAATATTGCTTTGTCAAATAATATGATCAATCACATTTAGCAATAACCAATGTTTTTGTCCTTATTTAATTGTTCTCTCCATAAGGCAGGTAACACACCTCTCCACCTTGCTTGCCAAAATGGTCATTCCCAAAGCTGTCGAGTATTACTGCTTGCAGGATCTCGGGCTGACTTAAAAAATCATGTAAGTAAACTGTCAGTTATAGCAAAATTTTGGTTCGGTTGTAATTCAGGGTTTTCTGAAAAGTTTTGAGAGCATTCATATTATTATTATTATTATTATTATTGTCCTATAATTACTTGTAGCTTTATTATCCTTTTAAAATGTTTTCCAGTGACAGCCTGACAGCCTGTTATTTACAGAGATAAGTAGATTAAGCAACAATTTGCACATAGAACTGAATGACTCATCTCTGTGACTAATGCCTTACTAGATGGCTCATTCCTGATTTTCAGCCAGACACAGGCAGCCTCAAGGCAGTTTGCTTCTCCTGTGCTCCCTCTTTAGATAACCCATAGTGCTCCTGTAATCCATTTCATGCATTAAACGTTTGACTGTAAAACAAAGATTGTATACACAAATCTTTACCTTTATGGATCTTTTTGAGTAGCTTCTAGGCATAAAAAATAGAAAGTTTATAATGATATATACTGTATGTTAATGTCCTACATATATTACATAACAGGTACATTATTTATGTATATGTGCTTGCATGGCACAAACTGTATGTTACATGTTACATTCTTTGGATGGATGGCAACACCGAAACATGGTCTTATAATGTTCCCCCAGTGTTGTCACCCATCCATAAAGAGAATTTTCACTGAACTATAAATGTATCTTCCTATGGAAGCTTACTGGAAATATTGCAGTGTTTCCACCCTAATAGAAACACACAGGCCTGCCTAGTCAAACCTTGCCTTCACCACCCCTTCTCACAGGAATGCAGCCAGGAATTAAATGACTTTCTATACTGGTCACTTTTAAAATCCACTTCTTGCAATGCAAATCACTAAAAAGGATCTTGGCAGGTGTTGAGTTCTCACTACTGATTACCCACTGAGCCAGGTATTCTACAAATTTGTACAACTGTATTGAATCATGTGACCACATGAAAAATGTACGTTTACAAAAATACATTGACTGCAAGCAGTGTGCTCCTTATATAGAACTGTTAAAGTTCAGTGTCTGTCGCCCCTCTCTGCCAATCCCTCCACTGGCTCTCAATTGCCCAGCGAATGAAGTTTAAAATACTAACAGCATTCACAACTCTGCTACCCGATTACATCTCCAACCTCATCTCAAAATATCAACCAAACCATCCTCTCCGCTCCACCCAAGACCTCCTGCTCTCTAACTGTCAAGACCTCCTCCCATGCTTGCCTCCAGGACTTCTCCAGAGTGTCTCCCATCTTCTGGAACTCCCTAACCCATCTGTCCGCTTATCTCCTACGCTGTCCACCTTTAGGCGATCCTTAAAAACTCATCTCTTCAGGGAAGCCTATCCCACCTCAACATAACTGCCTTTTTACTTCTTCCAGCAAATCAATCTAAACAATTATTACTAGACATGTGCGATTCGTTTTGTTCCGAATAGAAATTTGGACGAAATTTCGGAAATTCTGAGATTCGGATGTATCTGAATTACAGGTATAACGAATACAAACGAATCCGAATTTCCGATTCGTTTTTTTCGGAGGAACTTTCGTTTTTTGGATGAAATTTCGTTGCAGCAAAGTGACATTTGTGAACAGAAAAACTTTTTTTCCCTCTTAAATGTCACTTTGCTGCAAGGAACGAATGAAACAAAATTTTGTACGGATTTCCGCTAACGAATTTCGTCCAAATCCAAATTCCAAAACGAATTGACTTTCGGACCCGAATTCCGAAAAACGAAATAAAGCAAAATCCGAATCAAAACGAAACAAATTTTTTTTTTTTTGCTGGTGCACCTGTCTAATTATTACCTTTGGTATCACTTGCCCCTCCTACTAGATTGAAAGCTCTCACGAGCAGGGCCAATTTTGTAAAGCGCTGAAGAAACTGTTGGCACTATATAAATCCTGTATAATAATAATAATTGATGCCCATTGGATCCCAGAAAGAGCACAAAACACAGAAAAGTGGTATTTTTGTGCATGTTTGATGCATGTCCATAATACACCCTGGTGTGAATGGGGCCTTATTGTGTTAGTTTCATACTGTTATAATGTTAGGGCTGAAAAACACACATCCAGCCAAAGCTGGCTGCACACATTACAGTTTGACTACACAATCTGCCTTAGATTTGCCATCAACTGTATAGTGTAAGGGCTTACCTGAACAATCCATTCGAATGATATTTATTGTGGCCCTCAAACCACACAGTTGTTGGCAAATCTAGGAGGATTTTATAATCTGATATAATCAGTTGAAGTGCATTGTGTTATGGTAGCTGATTCATTTTAAACGGACTAAAAGATGAACATGCAATATTTTTTTCTAACACAAAACACATGTGTGCCTGAACAGCTTTGCCTTAGTGCAGTGGAGTGGCATTAAAAAAAATAGCACAGCAACCTTCTGGCGCACTTGATGTGCATTGTGGTAGCACGCATTACTGTAACACACCCAATCACAAAGGTCCGTTTCAGCCAACAGATTTGGTTCTGTTTTTGGGGTTTGTTTTTTTTAACAATATATATATATTATACAGTTTGATAACTGTTATGTTTTGTTATATCTGTTATATCTTAATATATTATCTGTTATATATTAAGGTATATTTGATATACAGATCTTGCTTAATTATTTTCAGTTATGGATTGCTTACATGAACACAATAATGTCATAAGAACTTTAATAATATTGTGTTTATATGTTTTCCAAAATATGTGTTGTACAGGCACTGTGTTTAACTTGATTGATTAACTATATCTATTCAATAATGTATCTACATCTGCATGTAAACAAAACAAGTGAATACAACGCACTATGCAGTCAAACCTTTTAAAATGTATTATTATGATTTGCAGGCAGGAGATACCTGTTTACATGTTGCAGCTCGCTACAATCACTTGTCTGTCATCAGGATACTACTCAGCGCTTTCTGCTCTGTCAATGAGAAGAACCAGGTCAGTTCATAGACCCATCAGCTAAGAGTTAACTAGTGCTAGTGATCAAAGAGGGCCTCGAAGCAAGGCCCTTGAGCTCAGTTGTAAGATGTACATCGTTTCCTTATACTACCATCTTTCAATTCAATGGCAAAAGCTTTGTCAATAGTAGACTTCTGAAACAAAATGTTATCATCTTATATAGTTGTACCCAAAGTTACTGACACATTGACAGCAGCTAGTTTGAGGACCGCTTACGATATAATTGATACATTAAGAAAACGTGATGTTTTGACATCTTTGAAATGTAACTTTTTTTAAATTGTGTGTTCCTTAGGCTGGTGATACGCCACTCCATGTTGCTGCTGCTCTCAATCATAGGAAGGTTATCAAAGTGCTTTTGGAATCTGGAGCTGACGCTGCACTTCTTAATAATGTGAGTGTATATTACTAGATATATATTTGGGGGTAGAGGTTTAGGCATTGCTTCTTTTTAAAACTGCAAAATAGTGCTCTCCTCTTGCTACAGAAGATTAATAGGATTACATGACATATTGGCCTGGAACATTCTATGAAACAAACCACCAGTTTTATACAGAAGATCAATAGGCATCACTTGGGATTAAATGTTCTGCAATTAATATTTAATCATGGCACAGCACAAACTACTGTGTTGTTCTCAGCACTCTGCTTTAATGATCAGACAGATCTAGAAATGCATAATTACTCGAACAGAGGACTTCATCTGCAGTAACAGCTCACTTTGCTGTCAGGCTCTAGACGTATTAATAAGCCAGAGTTGCAGTAGATCTGCTTCCTCCTCTGACGTATAGTCTGCCGAGTATCCATGCCTCCCTAGAGAATGACATTATTACAATGAAGGTTGAAAGCATGAGTCATGGTTGCTGGAGATGGAAATATTGCAGTGGTGCATGCTGGAGAAATGATGATCCAATTTTTATTTCAGTTCCTTATTTATAGAATGTTCAAAGTCATAAGTGAAATAAATAATCTTTTCTATCTCCAAAATGTTTATATTCAGGCAGGCCAGATTGCTTTGGACACAGCAAGACACCACAATAATTCAGACGTTGCCCTCCTCCTCACTAAAGCACCACAGGTACTGTAATAAAAGCTTGACTAGTTGTGTCCGATATTGTGTAAATTTAAGAGAGGAAATCTAGGCAGATATAAAAGACACAAATTAATGCAGCTCTGAAATCATTCATGCACTATAACATTTATTTTTAAAGCAAGCATAAGTACTTTCATTTGATCTGGTATCAGCCTCTTGGAGTCCCTTACAGTGTTAGTGTGAGAGGAAGATGCAGTTTAAGGAGTCAATCAGTACATGTTCTGACAAGAAGCATGCTAATAGGAGGAGAAAGCAGTGTGACAGAGAATTGAGCTTATCACTGTCCTGCTTCTCCGTTTACTGTACAGTCACAAGCTGGGGGTATGTTCAGGATAACCCTGGTTCAGGGGAAGTGGATTGAATGATCCTGCCCATCAGATCTAGGCCGTCTAGCGGCAGAAATAAAAAAAGGAAATCTTTGGATTGAAGGTAAATTTTGTAGTAAATCATGCCTGCCAAAGGAAATGTGTTTGTCTAACCAATCCTGGTTTTTATACTAAGAAGAAGAAGCACTCACAAGCAATTATAACTCATATCTTAAATTAAAAAAAATGAAAATAAAAACTTTTATACGTGATATATCAGTGTGAATCCTAATAAACGTGTAAAAGTGATTTCCTGGCTCACCTCATGTCGGCATACTAATGGTTAACCCCGCCCCCGGCTCCCAATAGGACCACCCCTAACAAGAGAATAAAGCCCCCCCTTCCCACTACCCACGTGTTCTTTTTTTGTCCTCGCTCAGGACACCTAACAGTTTTTTTTTTCCTCTGCATTTTTTTTTTTCATGGTAATTACCCACCTCGGGTTCAGCCTCTTCTCCCGGGTGGTAGATGTCCCTGTATATGGTAAATCCACAGGATGGGACATGCCTTGTGCCAGGCTAAGAGACCGGAGGTAGCCTAAATGGCTACAGGTAGAGGGGCTGGTAAGTAGGACTCATGGTGCCGAGGTTCTCTGCCGATCGTCGGCTGTGGGTGCGTTCCAGCGTGGTGCGCACTCTCTATGCCTCACACGCTATTGCGGTAGTAAGCCGCGGCCGCCAGTGACCCTGTGTTCCGGCTTGGAGCGCAGACCCGCCCCTTCCCGTTCTGGATTGGCTGGCGGGGATAGAGGGGGTGGGGGATACTACTCCTAAGGTGGATGCAGCCTTACAGAGGCTGGCTAGACATGTACTCTTGCCTTTAGATGACTCTGTTTCGTTCAAGGATACCATGGACAGGCGACTGGAGGTGGATTTGAAAAAGATCTACGCCACAGCAGAGGCGTCATGCAGGCCTGCGGTGGTTTTGTCCTCAGTCAGTAAGGCTATGAGAGTATGGATTACAGGGGTGGAGGAAGCGTACCATTAGTATGCCGACATGAGGAGAGCCAGGAAAGGAAAATTACGGTAAGTATGTGATAACAATTTTCCGTTATATCAGCGGTAATCCTAATAAACGTGTAAAAGTGATATATCAGCGGTAATCCTAATAAACGTGTAAAAGTGATATATCCGCGGTAATCCTAATAAACGTGTAAAAGTGATATATCATCGGTAATCCTAAAAAACGTGTAAAAGTGATATAATCAGTGTGAACCCTAATAAAAGTCAAACTCGATCTTGCTTCACCACCAAAGTGCTTAAAGCAGCTATGTATTGCACCCAATATCAGTGTCTGGGAAAAAAATGTACTTAAAATACACACTGTGCCTTTTAGATGATATACAAAAGAAAAATCGAATAAATTAAAATATAAAACCTTTTTGAATGTATGACATGTCTAATCAGTGGCTTTTATATGTTGCTTAATCACCACTTGTGTCTAAAAATCCATCTGTGCATTCCATCCCACTGTGTAAACAGAAAAAACAAAGTCTGAGGCACAACTACCATTGGGATGGACAGATGGAAAGGGGAAAAGGTGGGCTGGGGCACGCAGGGTTAATGCTGCCTGAGAAGCAGTATATTGATGTTTCTCCTCCGTGGAGTATCGAATATCAAGGAGGGAGAGGAAACAAAATAGGTGCAGGTGAAACAGAGGCAAGTTGAGAGGTGTATAGTGCATATATCAACTCACCGTGAGGTTCTTAAAGAAGTGTAGTCATCGACGACGGGATTCGCGTTGGAGGCGAAGTCCGGCGGTCTCCTCTGGGTCTGGGTGATGGATCTTGAGCTGCAGAGTCGAGGTGTAGTTTCGTCTGACATACCCCCAAGCCACCGCAACTCAGCCCAGCAGTTCAGCAGCCCAGCAGTACGTCCCACAAACAGGCATTCGACGGAACTACACCTCGACTCTGCAACTCAAGATCCATCACCCAGACCCAGAGGAGACCGCCTGACTTCGCCTCCAACGCGAATCCTGTCGTCGATGACTACACTTCTCTAAGAACCTCACGGTGAGTTGATATACGCACTATACACCTCTCTCAACTTGCCTCTGTTTAACCTGCACCTATTTTGTTTCTTCTCCCTCCTTGATACTCAATACTCCACGGAGGAGAAACATCAATATACTGCTTCTCAGGCAGCATTAACCCTGCGTGCCCCAGCCCACCTTTTCCCCTTTTCATCTGTCCATGGTAGTTGCGCCTCAGACTTTGTTTGCTTTTCTGTTTACACCCATACCAGTTGGACACCCCGGTCCATACTAAACTGAAGCCGCACACCACCCTCACCCCACTTCTATCCTCATCCACATAGCCCCCTCAAAAAGAAAAAAGTTCTGAATAACGCAGAAACCACTACCCCCCAACTCCCAGGAGAGCGCTGTCACACAGGACTTGAATCCTCAATTTTTTCGATTGCATTCCATCCCACTACCTATGGAAAGCAGCTCAGCGTTATGATATGACCCCTATTTCTAGAAAGCTAAAAAAAACGCTTGAAATCACCAGCAATGTGATTCAGGGGGGTTGATTTACTAACCTTATATACACGCCACGAATAAGTATACACCTCTGTAGTGTGTTCCCTCCCAGCATGATCTATTGGTGGAATCTAGACACCTTTGTAGTGTGTACACATCTAGCAGGTGTGTTGTGCAAAGCCCTGCATGAATTGCAAGGTGATATTGTGTAAATTAGCTCTACATTGTGTTGCTTGCGTTGATGAATGCAGGAATGTAAATGCATGAGCTAACCATTTTTGTCTAAACTGTGAAGCAGCATTATATATGCATCATGTGCATGATTTTTCCATATATGGCATTAGTGGAAATATGCTTTTAGAGACTTTTTGGTTGATAAATACGTTTTGCTGTGTAAAAATCACACGCACCTAGTGCGTGCGTGTGTTTAGGTTAGTAAATCACCCCC